GGTGTTACAGGTGAGACAGGTGTTACAGGTGAGACAGGTGTTACAGGTGAGACAGGTGTGACAGGTGAGACAGTTGTTACAAGTGAGACAGGTGTTACAGGTGAGACAGGTGTGACAGGTGAGACAGTTGTTACAAGTGAGACAGGTGTTACAGGTGAGACAATTGTTACAAATTAGACAGGTGTTACAGGTGAGACAGTTGTTACAAGTGTTACAGGTGAGACAGGTGAGACATTTGTTACAAGTTTTACAGGTGAGACAGGTGTTACAGGTGTGACAGGTGAGACAGGTGTTACAAGTGAGACAGGTGTGACAGGTGTTACAGGTGAGACAGGTGTGACAGGTGTTACAAGTGAGACAGGTGTTACAAGTGAGACAGGTGAGACAGGTGTGACAGGTGTTACAAGTGAGACAGGTGTTACATGTGTGACAGGTGAGACAGGTGTGACAGGTGAGACAGTTGTTACAAGTGAGACAGGTGTTACAGGTGTGACAGGTGAGATAGGTGAGACAGGTGTTACAGATGTGACAGGTGTGACAGGTGAGACAGGTGTGACAGGTGAGACAGGTGTGACAGGTGAGACAGGTGAGACAGTTGTTACAAGTGTTACAGGTGAGACAGTTGTTACAAGTGTTACAGGTGAGACAGTTGTTACAAGTTTTACAGGTGAGACAGATGTGACAGGTGTGACGTTGCTGCGTGTCCTCAGATTCAGGACATCAGTGTGGAGACTGAGGACAACAAAGAGAAGCGCTCAGCTAAAGACGCTCTGCTGCTCTGGTGTCAGATGAAGACAGCTGGGTGAGTCTTCCTCGCTGCATGTGAAGCTCTTTACTGATGAAGATGATGGACTCTTACCTGCTGCCTCCCTCCTCTTCCTCAGATACTCAAACGTAAACATCCATAACTTCACCACCAGCTGGAGAGACGGGATGGCCTTCAACGCGCTCATTCACAAACACAGGTAAGTTGTGTCCTCAGGTGATACACAGGTGTCTTCCTGTTCTTCTTCTTGTTTTAGTGTTTCTGTTGTTCTTGTGGTTTTGTTCTTGTTGTTTTAGTGTTGTTGTTGTTGTTTTGTTCTTGTTGTTTTAGTGTTGTTGTT